GATTAGAAAAGATGCACAAAAGAGTGAGTCGTGGGTGGATCGCCGAAAGGATTGTAGGGGTGCAGAGGGTGCAAAAATACGAAGAGACGACACATGAAACGCTGTTCACTTCTTTTTTCACTGATTCTAGATTCTACAATTTTTCGGGTTTTTCTTTTTATTATCTCTACTTCCACAGCTTCAGACCCAGTCTGTGTGTGAGTGTCTCTGTTTCATTTGCTTGATTCTTTGCACTTGTTCATAGCATTTCACCTCGTAACCTACCCCCAACCTATACGCTTCCTTCCTTTACTGCTCGCTCCTTCGTGTCCTTCCACTTTCAATCTTTTTCCCTTTCTCTATACTTCAACATTTCCCACGTTGCTTTACACTTGTGCACTTGTTCGGAGGATTTTATGAGCTTAGTCGGCGATTTAGCGATTTTTGTCTTATTTAGTTTTTAAATAAATGGCCAAGGATGTTGGCTTGGCTCTGGGTTTGCCACTAGACACGAGTAGCTAGAACTTTTTGGGTCTTTCCCCCACTCTCACTCTTCAAGGCTTTTCTCTTTCGTTGAGAAGACCCAAATTAAGACTTCGGGAGTGAGAAAACAGCAGTGAGGAAATTCGTAATGAATTTGATGGCAATCATGAGATCTAAAACAATTGATGTCTTGACCCTGAAGCACTCTGAATTGTGGAGAACTTTAAGTAAATTGAGAAAATCGAACAAGATTAAGATTTCCATTTACGAGTTTGAGTAAATTATTCTTACCTGAAAAAATTTGTGTGCTGTACACAATTAACATCCGCTGAAAGTATTCTACCAGTGGAAATTTTCAATGTCGAACTCAGTATTTTTGCTCTTATACCCGAAGCCAGCCATTCCCACAACCGTGTTACTTCACCATTGACATTTCTATTCAAGAAATCTGTTCACAATTACAGAACTGAATGCATTAAATTTAATGAAAAACCCCCAACCGAAACGACTACAATTTGTCTGTGAGGAAAAGCGGAAAATGTGCCATTAAATGGCAAACACCAAAACCGAGACAAATGCAGGACTCTTAAAGCGGGCGGTGATGGGTGATGGGCGATGGCTGATGGGTGATGGGTGAAGGAGCGCCCTCGACTATGAGAATAAACAGAAAGGGACAACCATGGCAGGCAGCCAGTCTGGCAGGAGGTTTTTGTGCTTAAATTTCATAATCAACACAAAAGGGGGATATACACAGAGACACAGCGGCACAAAGGGCGCTGGGAGACATGAATATTGTCGTTGAATGGCTCCAACGAGGCGGCAAAGACAACAGGGATAACCGACTTGGTCAGAATTCCGAGTTGGTAGTACTGGAAATGCATGAAACGAGTGCTGCACATGTGGGAGGAGCGGACTGACTGACTGACTGACTGACTGAGTGCCTGTGTTTGAGAAGGACAAACAAACGGAGCCGGGGCTCATGGATCCGCATCAGTAGTAGCAACAGCAGGAACAGCAGCATTCATTTTCGCCAACCAAAAGAAGTGACGTAAAAATGCATTAAGCAGAAATTGTCAACAATTTTTCAAGCCACCCCCATGAAAAACCCCCACGACAACGGACCGGCGAGCATCCCCGACTCAATGGCGTCAAGTCCGCCGCCTGAATAAACAGAACTTCCCCCTCTATGGGGCTTTTGGAGTCGATGGTGTGGGGGTTTTGGGGATGTGGGGATATGGGGATATGGAGAAGGCTGATAACCCCAGATGGCAGTCAAATCTGACTGAATAATGACTGCAATGTGCCGAGACACAAATAGTGCTCGATACGGTCTAGCAGGAGTGAAGACATACCCGGACCCCATTCAGTTATCGGATCAGATTTCTTGGGGTTGGATTTGCTGTCAACTCGAGTTACATTTTCGTATGATTTTCAATTTTTAATGTCCTCGCAGTGGCAGTACAAATGATGATGAATTTGGCGCCAGATGTGTCCGATTTCCCGACACCAAGAGTGTCAAAGATCCAGATATAGCAGGGTTGAAGGGCAATTGTTCCACAAGTCTTACATTCCCCCCACCACCGTGGTTGCAGCCCACGAACGACTCCCACAAGTTTTGTGAATTTCCCTGCACTGCCCTGCTAACAGAAAATTAAAATGCCATGTTCTGGCCAGGAGTCTGGGGCCATGCGCCCATCTGTTGCATAAGTGCATCCCGACGTTATGCACATTTCTGAAGCCAAGCTCCATAAACTTGGACGGTGCAAAGTTTTCAATTGGCCAAGACGGAAGCCCCTCTCGAACGGGAAACTTATAGCTATTCGCCAGTTTCTTCGTGAAAACTGTGTGGTCACTCAGGCAAAGGCTGCTGTCGGCCAGGGAGTTCATGTGGAATGGAAATTATGTGGAAGTTCAGGTCACTCGTTTAGGGGCATAATGTGGGGTCTTCTACTTTGCAGAAAGTTTAATTTTCAGTTTTTGGTTGTATTTTTTGGTTGTATTTAAAGTTTCAATTAACTGGCAGTGGTGTAGGGGAATATGTTTGACAGACTGTGTCATAAGTTTAGCAACTAAAGTGGGCCGAAAAGTTGAGGCTGGAGTTGGGTAGGATTTTTAGAAGACTGTCAAAGAGACTTAGAATTGGTTCAGTTAATAAATAAAGAACGAAGATTAAGCGTAGTTTAACCTAGCTTGAGATGAGGCTCGGAAGGTTCGGATTGGAATATGATGGAAAATTCCATTCCCCAATTGGATTAACGTCAATCCCTTTAGAGCTTCATAGAAGTACGAAATCTCGGAGCAATCTGTTAGCCAAAGCCACTCTTGGTGAGTGGAATCGTCCACTCCAATCTGACTCTGACGGTGGTTTGATGGTGCAAATCACGCAGGGCTGTGGCAGCCGGACTCTGCCGGACATTTGTTTGACACTCGAGCTGGACCCGAGTCTGGACCCACACTCGGACTCGCCACAGCTTGTCAGCTTCTTAAAATATGCCATGCATGTTGCATAAACAAGACTTAAACAAAAACGAAAGCCAGAAGGACTGGGTCCCGGGACTCGGGACCTTCGCCCCCCTTTTGGGCATAGCAAATATTTGCTGCCGCGTGTCGCCAACAATGAGGTGGGATGCTCCCCAAAGGGACACCCCTTGTGGCCTCCAGTCCGTGGCGGAGTGCTCTGTTTTGTGGGCTGGAGCTGCCTTTTCACTGCCAGCGTCGAGTGCGGTCTCGTTTCTACTTTGTGTGCCACTCACGTTGTGCTCGTTATTCATATTTATTGCACACGTTGTGAGGCGCCTCCCGGAGTCGACTCCACCTCCACTTGGGCTCGGCTCCCAGCTCCGGCTCCACTCGTACTCTTCCGCTCCACAGACAAATGGCCGGGTTGCATGTGCATTGTTCTTGGCACAGACGCTTGTGCCACGACCCGATTTGGCTGCTGCTGTTGCTGTTGCTTTTGGTGTTGGTAGGCGTGCGGCCCGTGTCTAGTAGTAAAAACTTTGCAATTACAGTTATTTGATGGGATTTACAATGCACCACCCACAGTCCCTCCCAGACAGGGATGCGGTGTGGGGGTGTTTGATTGTTTGGACATTCATTTGCTGCCGGCTTGTTACAGCCTTGTCTATTTAGTGTGCCGTGAAACGAACACCAGACACAACGCCAGTTCCCAGCAAAAGGCGTTAAGTGACAGAGGAGTCGGTGCCACCCAATGAACGGGAACTGCGAGTATGAAGGAAAATCGACACATAACACTACTTGACACGAGTTTTCCTCAAGGAGCAAAACCAACTTTTTCTTAAAGATTTGGGGTTTAAAAAATGGTTTGATGATATTTTTGTTTTTTCTATGGCAGAACTTTTTTTTGAAATATTTTTGAAAACTGTTATTTTGTTTAAAAGCTTTTTTCAGAGGTCGCGCTTCTTTTTTTCACATAACTCTAGTATCTTACCTCTGGTTGTAAAGAACTTTGCTATTTTAAAAAGATAATTGCAACAGCTAGAAGATAAACCCAAACACTTTTTGTGTAAAAGTGCATTTATTGAAAAAAAAAAAATGAACAAAAAATACCTTTTGGAAGGTTGCGGGCCCAACTGCCAATTGGGAACAAAACAAACGAAAATGGGCTGTACATTTGGTACCTGATCGCGATCCTAATTTTGTCGAGTAGTGTAATAGAAGCACGGGTAAGGCCAGTGTCTCGAGGCTAATGCGAGTGTGCAACTTTAACTGAAAGTTACCAAAGGATTAACTAGATGAAAGTTTATTAGGAAGTTCGATTTGTCTGACTGTCGGACTGTTTATACCCGTACTCGAATACTTAAGGGGCACGATACAGAAACACAAGATAGCGCAAAGGATTCCGCCATTTTTTACTGTTTTCTCATCTACGCATATATGCATCTCGCTCCCACTTATTGGCACTCAGACTAAGGCAGCAAGTTAAAGCAAAAATTACAAAGGATTACCAAACCTGGATCAGATCGGAGAATTGTTATATCCAGAATGAAGAAATTATACTGACTGAGTACTGGTATAAGTAGAGTTGCGTCCCCAGAGCGACTCGCACGTTCCTTCTCGTTTTATTCTAATACAGACCCAAGTTTCGTCTCCAGCTGCAGTATAATATGATGGATCTGTGATCAAATGCAGGGCATGTCTGTGAATTCATCTGTGGAACAAAATACTATATATAGGTACCATATTCGTTGCTATAAAAAATCCATTGGACAAGCAAGCGAAGGGGCAATGAACATTCGAAGCCCATCTTTTTAGCCACATTTACATTTATGTCGGTCTGTTAGTTAGCCCCTTCCTGTGCTAATAAATCCTGTATAAGTGGAAATAGAGGCCACCCCCGTTCGAAATTGCCAAAATGGATTTGGCGATTTTCCGATGTTACAGAATTAAAATTATTTCACTAAAGCGTTTAGTCACTTACGTTTGATGTGCTGCTGGTAAATCCGTTTGCAATTGGTCATGGTCACGATATCACGAATATTAGACACGGCCATGAGAAGTTTTATTAAGTGTCAGAGTGTGCTGCCACATAGACAAACATCTGCCATAATGTGGTGGTGGCTGCTGCTCTCTTTTCCGTGGACTATTTATGCAGCAGAAAATGAGTGGTGCGATCCAAGTATTTGCGGAGAGGGGGATACCGTCCACATACTTTGCAAGGATGAAGGGGTAGGTACAAATCAAATACTGATCACTGATCATCAATAAGCGAACGGCACTTGCAACGGGATGACAGCAATTTTACAGCTCGTGTCCCGAGAAGGCATCGCTCGTGAACTTAAAGAAAAAAGATATGGATATGATCACGGGCGTACATAACAATCTGAGAAACAAAGTAGCAGGTGGCGAACATAAGGGTTGGCCCAAAGCAGCGAAAATGCTGACGATGCAGTGGGATCTAGAACTGGCGATGGTGGCCGAGGCGGGAGCCAGGCTGTGTCAGTTGAAGAAGCTCTATTGTGCCACAACAACAGTTTATATGTGGACAGGTCAGAACGAAGCTGTGGAGGCCTCTCACTGCCTCAAGAATAGCGATGTTATACTAAAAAAGCATCTCGAAGACTGGATCCGACAGGGAGAATATGCAACAGAAGCCATGTTGAAAGATCCTTTGTCTGGGTAAGCAAATCTGGTCCTCACTCGTACTCGTACATGTACGGGTCTATACGTACATATATTTACAAGAAATGTATGTATGTATCATGTAGGCCAACATCGGCGCACTTTCTTCAGATGATACGCGATAGATGTGACCGGTTCGGATGCGCCATCACTTGCTATACCGAAAACGAAATAGAATATCAGCTAATGAAGTGCATATATAGCTGCACCATTGCGCTGTCCAACCCCTCGAACCCAGTGTATGTGGCTGCAAAATCAAAAGGAGGTGATAAATGTCGGGCAGGCCACAGTAAAACTTACCCCTCCCTATGTCATAAAGGGGAAAAGGCTCCAGCATGCAAAGAAACTGAAACTAAAACAACCACCTCTACCCCACATTCACCTGGACAAAAACCTGGACAACTTCCTCCCTACCCACCTCCAAAATACACCGTACCAGATCTTCCTCCAAACCCAACTGTGGCAGCTCCTCAACCTCCTGGACCCCACCCCTCACCGCCTCCATATTTTAACGAACCCCCACCCTTTGCAAGAACGCTGAGCATGCGCACAGCTGCAGCTGGAGCTAGAGCTGCACCAAGGAGAGGGCGACCAAGGCCCCGAATCAATTCGGAAAAGTTAAGTGGCATGGACTATGACTTCTCCGATTACGTGCAAGATGTGGATCCTTGCGACACCTGCACCACTACACCATGCAATTTAAAATATCATTGTTTTTAATCTCTGTGAAAGCTTTATAATTTGATTTGCTGATAGTAAATCCGTTTGCAATCGGTCATGGTCATTGCATGGCGATGATGTCACGAATATAAGATACGCCCATGAGAACTGTTACTAAGAGACCAGCAGACTCTGAGCTGCCACATCCACAACTTCCTGCCAAAATGTGGTTGTGGCTGCTGCTCTCTTTACCGTGGATTATTAGCGCAAATGAGTGGTGCGATAGAGGGCTGTGCGACCCGGGGCGCTTCCACATACTGTGCAAAGATGAACGGGTAAGTGCCAATCACATACTGATCACCGATCGTCAATTAGGGGATGACGCTTCCAACGGGATGACAGAGATTTTACAGCACCTGTCCCCGGGCGGCAGAGCTCGTCCCCATGACACCAGCAGTCATTGATATGATCACGCATGCACATAACGACTTAAGAAACAGAGTAGCAGGTGGCTTCACGTCTATGCCCAGGGCAGCGAGAATGTTGTCGATGCAGTGGGACGGGAATCTGGCGATGGTGGCCGAGGCGGCAGTACGGCTGTGTCGATTGGAGAAGCTCTATTGTGCCACAGTGCCGCACAATTTGTGGACCGGTCAGAACGAAGCCATGGAGAGCTCCGACTGCCTCCAGCCCACCGAAATTGTACTAAGAAAACAGCTCGCCGGCTGGATCAGACAGGGAGACTATGCAAGTCCGCACCAATTGCAAAATCCACTATCTTGGTAAGAACATCTGGTACACACATATGTACATCTTAAAGGCGAGGTTAGAATTTAAAAGATGTATTTAATATGTGTCATGTAGGGTAGAAGCAGCATACTATCTTCAAATGGTGCGCGATAGATGTGACCGTTTCGGATGCGCCATCAGTCGCTTTACCATTGGCGCTATAACGCATCAGCTATTAAAGTGCATATATAGCTGCACCGTTGCGCTGTCCTCCCGCTTGAATCCCGTGTATGAGGTTTCCAAGGAGTATGCAGGGGAGAAATGTCAGTCAGGACGCAGCACCGCTTACCCCCACCTATGTAATACAGTCGAAAGCGCTAAAATATGTTACGCAACTGAATCTGTACAACAACCTCATCCTACGACTTGGAATCTTCCTCAGCTTCGGCCTGGAACAGGGTATCCAAATCCTTCAAATCCTCTTTATCCTGCAGGAATTGCATCTCCTGGATATCCTGGAAATCCTGGATATCTACCACCATTTCCCCAATACCCTCCGACAGATATATACGTACCACGTCCCATCCCGCCAAACCCCTCTGTGGCACCACCTGGACCTGCTTTTGCCTACCCATCACCGCCTCCACATTGGACTCACCCGCCACCCTTTATTACGATATTCGGTATCAATATTCTTAGGACAGCTGCTGCACCACGTAGAGCCCGACCGAGGCCGAGAATCAATGGAAAAGATTTAGGTAGAATGGAATATGACTTTTCCGATTACGTACAAGATGTGGATCCCTGTGACAGCTGCACCACGACACCATGCAATTTAAAATATCATTGCTTGTAATTTATTTGCATTCAGTTTGAAGACTATAAAAGGTATATCCAGAATCATCAAAAATAGAGCAAACTGGTTGTCTGAAATAGTCTGTTTCTCGTTTCTTTTAACATACATATGTATACATTTTTGAGCTTATGCTTTTTTTTAATTTAACAATTAAATTTTTTTGCTACAGCTGGTATCTACATCTACAATGTATATTCTACATCTAACATCTAACAATACAATATACCCCTTAACTCTTTTTGAGTACGGTTATTAAAATTACATGCAGAGATCGAAGCAGGCAGAGGAGTCATGCTGCGGAAAATTCATTGCGAAATAAACAAGATCATTCATGTTTGCCAATCCAGTGACGCCATTAACGAGGGCAACGAAGTCTACCCACCATCAGCTCATACATATAAACAATTTAAAATTAAATAAATTAAACTAAACTAAACGCGCTGCGGCCTCAACAATGTGAAACATTTGCATTTCGGGGTGGCGGAAGCGGGGGGCATGGGCAGACACATGTGAAATTTCGATGCGCAATCAAATCAAAACACGGTTTTTAACTTCCGCTTGATGGCAGTTACGTAGTCGGAAAAACACATACACACTCGACTATTGAACATTTTAGATTCCCTTTTGGGTCTTGAGCTTTGTTTTTCAGTCACGATTCGCGATCGAGCAGTGGCTGGCTCTGGGTTTTAGGAGAGTGGTCCAGCTACCAATATTTTTTTCAGTAAATATTGGCATTTTTAACTTGTTTCACAATTTTCGAAAATTATTCAGGCATATAAAGAAATACGTTGACGTTTTATTTATTTGCATTCCGCTTTTGTGTGTATGTATTCCCATTTTGCATTCCCATTTCTCATTCCATTTCATGTGACAGAAAAATAAGGCGAAAAAGTAGAATAGGATTATTTTGCTTTGAACGAATATTTCAGCACTGCAACCGGGCAAAAATAGCCCGAGAATAGAAATGTTTGCCTCCAAATTGGAATAGGAAAAACAAGCGCTGCGAATAATACAATATATTGGAAAAACTGTTATGAAAACATTCAAAATGTTTTATATGGCGCAACCATATCCGTTTTTAGAGTACGAGGGGAAAAGAAAAATAAAATACGAGTATTTCCCAATCTAAAAGTTGTATGGAATTAACGAGTTCTGTAAGCTCAATATTTGATGTGGTTATAGACTTTTGACGAACTCTTCTACAAAAGAGTGTCCAAAAAAGATCACTTTAATATTTACAGGTATTTTTATTTGCTAAAGCCGCGTACACGGTAACATGACAATTGTAATAAAGACATTAAAAATGTGGACATTTTGTATTATTTAATCCTGTTATTATTTCATTAATGTATGTTTATGGATATATGTGAAATATGTAAAAAAAAGCGCGCATACAAATAAAAGTTGGCTAGTGAATAACGAGAGAAAATTTTTAACTCAATTATTAAAAGACCCCATGAAAGTTGTCTTTTCTTATGACTTTTCCGATTACGTACAAGATGTGGATCCCTGTGACAGCTGCACCACGACACCATGCAATTTAAAATATCATTGCTTGTAATTTATTTGCATTCAGTTTGAAGACTATAAAAGGTATATCCAGAATCATCAAAAATAGAGCAAACTGGTTGTCTGAAATAGTCTGTTTCTCGTTTCTTTTAACATACATATGTATACATTTTTGACCTTATGATTTTTTAGAATTTTACAATTAAAAAAAAGTTTACATTTTTTTGCTACAGCTGGTATCTACATCTACAATGTATATTCTACATCTAACATCTAACAATACAATATACCCCTTAACTCTTTTTGAGTACGGGTATTAAAATTACATGCAGAGATCGAAGCAGGCAGAGGAGTCATGCTGCGGAAAATTCATTGCGAAATAAACAAGATCATTCATGTTTGCCAATCCAGTGACGCCATTAACGAGGGCAACGAAGTCTACCCACCATCAGCTCATACATATAAACAATTTAAAGTCAATTGAAAAAAAAAATGGGCTAGGAAATTATGACAAATATTTGATCGGCTTTGGACGTTGTTCAACTTTTATGACATACTCCATTGAAGGGCTGAGAGGGGTTTTTAATTTCATCACACTAAATCAGGCAGCGATTTATTCATATTTTATTGGGAATAAGCAATAAATTCAAAAGGTGAAGGGTGTTAAATCGGGAAGAGTCTTTTTTTCTCGGCTGGTTATAAGCTGATTTATAATGTCATGCTGGGCCTAAAAAACGGGAGCTCACTGACAATAAAACAAGGCATCGGACATTGGCACGAATGTCGGTAGCAGGGAGCATTCGCCTATACAAATCCCTAAAAAAAGTATATACATACGAATCTGCATACATATGCTGTCAAAATATGTACACCAGAGGGCTGTAGGGCTTCAGTCAGTTAGAGATTTGTGGCAAAAACCATGCCGAAAGTCATGTCAATACGTGATCCGACTAGATATTAAAAACGTCCTCCATCAGTATTAGGTCGTCAGTAGGTTAGGTTAGTCAGTATTAACTAAATGTTAAATATACCTACATAATTAGAAACATAAATTTTTGTAATGAAACAATTGAGAAATTATTAAATAACGAAAAATCCCAATACTTCCATCTATGTATCGTTCATTCATAAGTATCTGTAGATACTCGAAAAAAAACTTTGCCATGGCCCAATCCATCCTCGGTTCAACATGCTCTTCATACCAAAAGAGTATTCACCCCAACGCACAGCCGTCTAAAACGTCATGGGAATTGTCGAGTCAATAAAAACCGTTTGGGATTTATTTAATAAAAATTCCAAATAATAAAACAAAAAATTCACAACATAAATTATGCGCAAAGCCGTAAACCAAAATGAAGATACAAAAACAGAGCAACAGCGAAAAAAATTGAAATTGATAATAAAATAAATGCAAATTGTAAATTAAAAATGAGAAGTGCTATGATTTTTGTTCGTCGCTTCGAGTTGATTTTTGTTTGATATTACCCGAGGGTGCTGTTTACATAGTCCGTTTTCCGCCACATCGCGCTGAGAGCATTATAGATTTAAATAATTAAACATAATTGTCGAAGGCTTATATTCAATGCTGATATTATTGTTTCATTTCAGAGCTAGCAAGCGCCCTGAGAGATGTCCGGGTACGAGTGCCACACGCGGTGCGGCGGGGAGAGAAGGGCATTCTAAAATGCTTCTACGACATCGAGGACGACAGCCTGTACTCGGTGAAGTGGTATAAGGGTAGACGCGAGTTCTATCGATACACCCCCAAGGAGACTCCGCCCATGAAGGTCTTTCATTTTCCGGGTGTTAAAGTGCGGGTAAGTCGAAAATTGGAAAATACTTTAGTGCCTAAACATTGGTTGCCATAATGCTTAAAATGATATAGAGGCGGTATCTGTTTACAAGTTCGTTTTCTATACATAAGCTTATCCGATATTTAAAAATGAAGATACCAGTCTTTTTATTCTATTTCAAAACGAATCGTTAGTGGAATTTTGTAAACAGATAATAAAAGGTTGACAATAAAAGCGGAAGAACGTAGTTCATTAACTTTTACTTTCCCTTAAGTTATGAACTTAGTTTACATTACTTATAAAATCCAATTTGTATCCAAATGGAGAGCTGAGGACTGTCCTTGAAAGAGAGTAACTAACAAAGTGCCATTTCTGTTCGTTCTCCATTTGGTGGTAGACACAATGGCAATATAAATGATAGTAACAAACAGTACATGTGGCAAGTGTTCACTCCACATACAAGCCACCCGTACAAAGGAGAGTGCGAAAAGGATATATGGCACTTTCCGTATTTGCAGGGGGTGTTCATGAATAATGTAAGAAAATCCAGCACCAACCAAATAACAACACATTTCTTTGCATTTTATTTTGTTTATTTTTTTCACTTGTTGTAGTTTCCGATAGGATTTTGAAATTGTAATTAGAACTCTGATTGAATGTTTCTGTACAAGGGTACTACTAGTAGGCAATACGATTAAAAATACAACATAAATTGTTCTTTGACATGTAATTTAAATCCCATCTTATAATTTTCTATTCAGTATTTATCATATATAAAGATACTTGGAAATGGAAGAAAATTATATATATTCAAGGTAAAATTCAAATTAGGGTGTAGGAAAAACGAACCCTTTTCGGCTGTCTGAAATAAGCTGGACTTGCTCAGCGGTCTGTGGGTCCGATGCAACAAATTTATTATCTTGCCTCGGCGACAATTGAGTACACGGTCGAAGTTAATTGCACAAGTATCGTATCATTATTCGGTCTCATTTATCTTTATTACACAGTATTAGTCAGCTCAAAACCCATTCGAGTGCCTTTCGCAAGACAAAGTTGATCCGCATAGGGCCACTCCAGGCGTGGCTACTTTTCTCTTTCTCTAAGTGCTGAGCTAGAGTTCCAAATTTCAGTTGCTTCCCGCACCTCCTCCAACACGAGACCACGCTACTCATTCCCTTTCTCGCTCGCACACTCTGCCTCGTTCAGTGCGCGAGCGCCCTCTAGCGGAGGAGAATCTAAATGGTAGAATCTACATTTAAGATGTAAAATATACATTGTAGATGTACATGACAAATGTTTCAAAAAGTGTAAAATATAATATTTTAAAAATTCCTTATAAATCATAAGTTCGCATATTTATATAATGACTGAGTACGATTATAAAATAAGAGTCGCGTCCACAGAAGCGACTCAACCGTTTCTTCTCGTTAGTACATTTTCTTAGTTTAATCTTCTCATTAACCGATCTGCTCACCGCACATTACTTATTGACGAGCCACGCATTTTAAACTATTTTCAATTCTGTCACGGTCACATTTTAATAACCCCTTTTATTGGGGGCCATTCTGTTCATTTCATTCCTTTCCATTTTATACCGGTTACCCGAATAAATTTGATAAACAAAACGAAACCTCCCACTGAGATTTTGGCTACACTTTTCTTTATGCCATTTGTGCAGCCAATAAAAAGAACAAAAGAACAAAACTAAATAAATTAAACTAAACTAAACGCGCTGCGGCCTCAACAATGTGAAACATTTGCATTTCGGGGGGGCGGAAGCGGGGGGCATGGGCAGACACATGTGAAATTTCGATGCGCAATCAAATCAAAACACGGTTTTTAACTTCCGCTTGATGGCAGTTACGTAGTCGGAAAAACACATACACACTCGACTATTGAACATTTTAGATTCCCTTTTGGGTCTTGAGCTTTGTTTTTCAGTCACGATTCGCGATCGAGCAGTGGCTGGCTCTGGGTTTTAGGAGAGTGGTCCAGCTACCAATATTTTTTTCAGTAAATATTGGCATTTTTAACTTGTTTCACAATTTTCGAAAATTATTCAGGCATATAAAGAAATACGTTGACGTTTTATTTATTTGCATTCCGCTTTTGTGTGTATGTATTCCCATTTTGCATTCCCATTTCTCATTCCATTTCATGTGACAGAAAAATAAGGCGAAAAAGTAGAATAGGATTATTTTGCTTTGAACGAATATTTCAGCACTGCAACCGGGCAAAAATAGCCCGAGAATAGAAATGTTTGCCTCCAAATTGGAATAGGAAAAACAAGCGCTGCGAATAATACAATATATTGGAAAAACTGTTATGAAAACATTCAAAATGTTTTATATGGCGCAACCATATCCGTTTTTAGAGTACGAGGGAAAAGAAAAATAAAATACGAGTATTTCCCAATCTAAAAGTTGTATGGAATTAAGGAGTTCTGTAAGCTCAATATTTGATGTGGTTATAGACTTTTGACGAACTCTTCTACAAAAGAGTGTCCAAAAAAGATCACTTTAATATTTACAGGTATTTTTATTTGCTAAAGCCGCGTACACGGTAACATAACAATTGTAATAAAGACATTAAAAATGTGGACATTTTGTATTATTTAATCCTGTTATTATTTCATTAATGTATGTTTATGGATATATGTGAAATATGTAAAAAAAAGCGCGCATACAAATAAAAGTTGGCTAGTGAATAACGAGAGAAAATTTTTAACTCAATTATTAAAAGACCCCATGAAAGTTGTCTCAAAAAAAAAAAACCTACATACGTACCTATGTACAAATATGCATGCTCGTATATTTTGAAACCGGAAGGAATCCAACGAGATACGTTTGTGGGCCATTTTTCAGACGGCCAGCATACACGATTCGAGCACAGACTCGTATACTCGTGTATAAATAAATAAATACTTACATATATATTTGCTCAGTAAAATTTTTTAAGCAAATTTATTTCGGTCACTTCCTCATCGTTCTGCATTTTTCTTTACCTTTTTTGCAGCGCGTGTCCTCGAATGAGAGCCAAGTGGTGCTGGATGCGGTAACAATGGCAACATCCGGTAAATACAGTTGCGAAGTATCTGCGGATGCGCCCTCATTTCATACATTAATAGCGGCAGCCGAATTGGAGGTTATTGGTAAGTAATAAATGCAAACGAATAATGGAAAGGAATCGTCAGATACAAACATATATGCTGGTGATATCTTTGAAGGAGCTTTGTGGGGCAGGAAGTCACAAAGTGCGCAATAAATAAGGCGGTAAAATACCAAAAATAACATTTCAAGGGGTTAACATTCAAGTAATTTTGATTCTTTGAGCCATTCGATGCTACACTAAATTAATTTCCAGTTCAAGTATATTCTTACGTCGAAGTTTTGTATACAAAACTTGAAATCAAACTAACCCGAGCCAGAGGACATGGTAGGGACCAAGTTGCCTGTTGACCAAATGCCAAATGCTGTGGAGCGACGGGGACGAGTTCAATTGCACAGGCCAAGACGTAGCCAGACGTGGCTTTCAGCCTTCCAGCTTGTGTGTGAACATGAAACTTAAAAATAAACTCTTAAAGTTCGAATGTTTCGGCAGTTAAGCAGACAAAATACCAACAGATTTGCGGGCAAACGAGACGAAGATGAAGATATTTAGGCGAGCAAACAAAATAAATGCCCGGAGTGCAAATGTTTTGCCAAAGCCAGAGACGGTCAATAAACTGTCGAAGTGGCTGTGACTGTGACTGTAACTATGACTGTGACTGTATGTTTTTCAGTGGGGGGTTTTCAAGGGGCATTCGATATGTTGACGGAGGTAAACTCAAATTGGCTTGACAAACTTTTGGAAGTGTCTATTTCATGTTAACATACATACGTACCTAAATGTATGTATGTACCATGTGCTGCCTGTGGGGGAGAGTTTGTTTGTGATTCCCATTTTGCCTCTTAAGGATAATAGACAGACAGTAGGAGAAGTGAGTTTGACAGATTTATGTGGATAAGCATTGGTTTGCCATTAAGAATATTCAAGGTTTTCATACGGCTGAACTTCCGACTGATTGTAGGAGTGCTCGCAAATATTTCAATTATGAAATGGGTTGAGGCACATTCAGATATCAGATACACCCCCATAAATAGGTAGACACACAGTGATTCCAATTGACAGCCGGACAGCAGGACAGCCGGGCACCGGACACAACCGGGCATAGTTTCAGGTCAGATTCGGGTGCTTCTCAATGCCGCAGTGTATCAGAAATGTTGTGACAATCGATGGTCAAGCTGGGTGGATTGCCACTGCCCCGCGCCCCGTGCCCCTGCCCCATGCGCCATGTATGAACGTACCTCTGATAACTGATGCCATCTCCTTTTGCTCTACCGTTTACAGAGGCACCGCACAATCCGCCATACATAACGGGAATACGTGCCCGATACCGTGTCGGCGACATATTGCGAGGTAATTGCACATCGCGACACTCCCGGCCCGCGGCCAATCTCACATGGACAGTGAATAATGAAGAGGTGAGTACCATCGAAAAGCCCCAAACCAGCAGCCCAGCCCCGTCATGCGCCCGTTCCCACTAGATGCGCCCGAAATTACGCAAACACAATTTTCTTGTTTTTAAGCGTTGGCATCTGGCTGGAATTTATGCGTCTGTTTTTGGTCGAATAGCTGTGGGGAGGAATAGCTGTGGAATGGGGCCGCAGGGAGAACAGGTTAAGCCCGCTCTGTAATTACCAGAAAAACACACGCATTCGTGGAGATCAACGCACTGGCGACACTCCCATCCATATCCCTGCATTATGCCGCCACCGAATGGAACGAACGTCAAATTTAGTCCGAATTATTTTTTTTTTTGGTTTCTACAATTTTGGGAACCGTTCTATACATACGATATGGCATATGGGGAATTTTTAAAGTGGGTTTGGCATCGCGAAATGGTCCAAATTGAGAGCGGGAAACCCACTCGAGTCGGGGACAATTTTCCCAGTTCCCAGTTCCACGTTTTGCATTTTACATTTCTCAATTTATGTTTTCCCGTCCCGACGTATACGCCTACTAATTGTTGGTGTCAATTGCAAACCGCTTTTGAAGTTGGTATTTGAAGATAATTCGCATAATTTCACACAGCATTGGAAGAAAATTGGAGAAAGGGGACTTGACTTTTAGCACAGTGTAAATAAGAGAAGATGAAATAATAAAGACGTGTGAAATTTGTAGTGCTTAATAAGGAGGAGGATATGCACCTGAAATCAATACCATAGCAATTAATAGAAACTATTCTGAAATTGTATTTGATAGTGTTTGTGCATTGAGATTTTCGCATGTTAAATGTGATAGCGATCCATAAAATCCCAACCCCAAGGGGCAATGTTATTTTCCGGAAAAACAAAACAGTGCCGGAAGACCTAGTTTGCATATGGAAAATTAAACAATAAAAGGCTGCTGCCTAAATAATTAGCTTACATATCTGCATATGCAATAAAACTTATTATACACACACATACACATACGTTCACGGTGCGAAAGAGGGAATGATGTGTGGGAAGAGGGAGAGAGACAGAGAGAGAGGGCAAGAGAACAGCAGGCAGCGCCAATTTCAACGTCACTCAACGACAAACAATGCTTATTGATGCTGCATAATAGGAGCACAGTGGTGGTAGGAAAACAAAGCACACAAACACACCGACACACCGACACCCCCTCATATCACACACCAACACACACACACACATACCTACAGAGACCGCAATTCCGCGTTGGGTGCACGAATTGGTTGTCGAGTTATCGAGTTGAGTTGGGTATGGTCGATGGTCGATGGTCGTTGGCCGATGGTCGTTGGTCGGTTGATTGGATATGCGGAGCTGTCGCTATTTCCACCCACACCCAGCCCGCCCTCTGCCCACGAAATCCGCTTAAACAATAAGCCAGAGAAGCATACCACCGAAACCAGCCAACAATCAACTATCCCAGGGAGAGAACAACTGCCAAAATAGAGGAACAAAAGAAAAACAAGCTGGCATTCCCTTCCGAAAGAAAAACCTCAAGTGGTGCTGCCTGCGCTGGGGGCAAAATCGCGTTGGTTGCCGGGCAACAGACAAATTAATTTGCATCCATGAAGTCAATCAAAGTCAATGCCCTAGCAGGGTATCCCCAGTCGCCAAAAATGATAATGGCCCAGGAATTTGTTTTAAAATGCCTTCCCGCAAGAGCGGCAGACACCTGCCTGGTGAGAGGCCAAACGCCACTAGTGACCCACTTTTGCAAATTCAGCAGGAATTTCATCCAGGCTATTCTTGTTTGCCCCTTGGGGCATAGCCCCACAGCAACAATTTTTGATTGATTTTATTTATAAATACTCGTGTACTCAATAAAATAAGTGAAACGTTAAATGTTACAGGTGAACCCCTCCCACGTGCGGCATCATAAAATCGTTGTGGACACTCGAAACGATATGCAAACCTCCATTGTGGGCATCCACTTCGTGGTCACCGATCAGCACTTTGACAACGGCAAGCTTAAGGTGAGTGGAGGATGTCCAATGTCTGTGGGACGCTCGAAATGAAATGGCTTTTAACCCGCTAATTGGTTCACCCTGCAGCTCCGGTGCAGTGCCCAGCTGCATGACGTGTACTGGAAGACCACCGAGAAGAACATCCTCGAGGCGGATCCGTTCACCAAGTACGGCAGCGGAGGGGCCAGCGGGAACCGCGTCAGCCCGGACGAGTTCTACGACCAGTACACGCTGCACGAGGACGAGCAGTTCCACAGCAAGAAGAACAGCTATCTGACACAGCTGCAGGGTAAGTAGAGCGCCAATTAGAGCCCGAGTGGCCGACACACACACGCACACACACACACACAATACACGATACAGCCGATACACATACACGTACACCTACACTAGCACCAAAAAGATGCCTGCACTCCTGCTCGTAAGAGAAGATAGATAGAACAAAGAACTACCAGAATACATCGAATACATGGCCTGCATTTGTCTGTGTCTTTCTCTATTTTTCGCTAGACTTTCTCTTTCATTCCTCAGGCGAAGAAGACGACGGGGCCGAAGGAGCGGAGGACGGCGGCGCCGCCTGGCGGGGCGTTGGCTCGTCCAGCTGCTGTCCGAGTCAATCTTTGGCAGTCACTGGATCGCTGCTGGCGGTGCTCGGCTGGACGCTAGGCAGGCAATTAGTGTCGCAGTTGCAGGCGCTAACAAGCGGCGCCGGCATCACGGCGAGTGGCACACCCAGCAACAACACGAATCGCAGCAGCAGAAGGTGCACCATCCTCCGGAAACATTCCGGACACATGCGGGTCAGCGCCACAAAGCAACGGCAGCGGCGCGGCCAGGGCCTGCGGGCGTCCGACTGCAGCTGGAGAGGATGCACACTCGGCAGGACCAGCGGCAGCAGCAACAGCAGCAGCAGTTGCATCAGGCAATTAACATGATTCAATTGTCATGCAACTCTTGTGCCACATGCCGGGGAGGTGAACGGGATGCGAGAGTAGGGAGAGCAGCGCGTTGAGGAAGAGCTGAAGAGATATACTCGTAGAGGTGCCAGAATGCGCAGAGCAGATGCTGAGGATGGGATGTGAGAGTTCAGCCCTAGGCCAAGACCCAGAAGCAAAAGCAACCACTGCAAAATGTATCTAAAATATTTACACACCCATACACCAAGACACAAGACACTCGTTTCAGCTAGCTCAAAGTAACTTCGAATGCATTTAAGAGATTACAAAAAAAAAACAAAACAAAACAAAACAAAACAAAAAACATATAAAGATACACGAAAGTTACCCATAAAGAATGGGGGGCTATTTCATCAAAAATGCAGCGATATATTTGTTCATTTCTTCAAGAGACGAAAGGGGCGAAGGTGTTTCGAAATGGGGTTCCCGAAAACGGTAGGGCCTAGTTATGAAATCGTCATGAGTCCTCTTTGGAACCACATCAAAGCCGCTCCATTTCATCAAATGAAGAAGACAAAACGGAAAATGTTGTGCTAAGCTTTTCACTTTCAGTTCTCTATAAAAATATATTTATATATTAAAGTGAAGATTATTTATAATTGATATAAATGATATTTATATATATGTATATGTACTTTATAAAATTATATATATACCTATATATATAGATATATATGCATACCATGCCTAAATGTAATACCAAAAGAAAAGAGAATCCACTGAGACACAAGCGAAATTAAGCGGATTGGCAAAGAGAAGAAGAGCAATTAGATTGTAAGTCTTAATATTGCCTATAGGTATATGAAAGGGAATATACATACATATGTATTGTACTTGTATATAATATATAATTGAAACGAAAACCAAAAATCGAGATATGTATGAGATAAGTATTTACGGTAGATAATCAAAATAAAAACCAAAAGCGAACAAAAATGTGAAATTTTCTTATTGCTGTTGGGGAAAAAGGTGGGAGATAACCGAAGTAAAGTAAGCAGATTTTTACTTAATAATATGGAGCAAATAATATAATGGCTGTGGAACAGCCCGGGCATCCGAAAAATGTGGTACATATTAATTCTTGGTAAATGTTAACAATTACAGCCCGCCCCATCGCGTACTTATAATTATAGTGTGTGTACCGTTTCTTTACAACAAATTAGTTCTTCCTCAAATCTTCTGTTATCATAACAAGAGTGCTCCTGCTTCCAAACAATAACATAATTAATTTGGATACATTCGTCAACGTCTCACGCCCACCTGGCCAGCACCCTTAATGATCCCAGGCATTTCACTTATAACAAATGACACACAATAAATGCGAGCTGGAGCCAGCGACCCCACCTGAAAAAAGGACATCTTCCCGGTTGGCCATTTTCCTGGTTTACTCGTAGTTGTTGCCTCCCAAACAATTAGCATAACTAAAACGCTCAATTAAGCGCCTAAAATGCTGCTGTAGAAGGCAACCAAGGACCCTCAATTTTCTTGGGGAAACTCCACTTTTCTCTGCTCTTCAGACTAATGCAATTTTCACCTGGCTGCTGCTCTTTTTTCTTTATTACACATTTCTTTGCCTTTTTTCTCTTGTCTTTTGGTTTCTTTCCATTATTTTCTTTTCGGTTCTTGGATTTGTGTAACATTTTTTCATTCCATTCTCTGTCGCCGCGTAATGTTTATTTTTAATTATATTTTTTTTTCTCCCATTGTTTCTTTATATTTTTCTCCCACCTTTTTTTTTGTTTTTCTTGTTCTTGTGCTCTTTGGTTTTTGCTGGCACTTGGTGGGTGTAATAAACGTTAATGGCGGCTGACCACAAAGAGAAATGGTCGCACTTCGTTCTCGGCCTCCTCCTTATTAGCCTTTGCACACACAGAGACATTAGGTTTAATTGTGCAAGATTTAATTGGATATTTGTTATCAGATGCTTAGTGGCTTAATTATTTTGCATAGCTCATACCAGGCACAAAAAATAAAATCATATTTACTCAAGCACGAGAATCGTACGTCATTTCAAGCATATCTTTATTTTCAAAAGTTCGCAACAAAAAGCGGCTAAAAGCATTTAACAGAAAACGTCAAGCAAAAAAAAAGTGCAGGAAAGCCAAAGAACTTTCTATTCTATTTTGGGTAGTTTTTTTGTTGGTTGCAGCTGGTAGAAAGTTTTCTTTAGTAAAAAGAAAATATTTAAAAAAATCAAGAAAGTTGCCTTCTTAGAGGAGACGTAAAGCGGCTTTTAAAAATGTTCCAGGCGCAACTTGGCTTTGGCTTTTCACTTAGCAAACAGCACCAACAACAGGCAGTTACATTCAGGAGGATGTAGCTACATATTCATAATGCTGATTGTCCCTGTTGTTGCTGCTTGTCTACCGCCTCCCGCCCGGCTAGTCGTTGTCCTGGAGATTGAAAATTTATTCAAAAGTCTGCCGAGTTTTGTCAAGTCTGGCGAGAAGCTGGCGGGCGGACGAGTCTTGCGAGTGGCGCTGCCTCGGGATAATAACTTTAACTTGAAAAGTAGCTAGGCAAGCCGCTTTCCCTTGTTAGTTTCTGGCATTACCAACCCTCCCCGGAACTGAAATTTACATTTGGGGATACGTTTAAGTAGAAGAAAGTAAAAGCTGTCGCTTGTCATAATTGTGCGGCAATTCTCGCAGAGTCAAGATGTCTGCCATAAATATTGCATGAAGTCCCTAGGACCTCTCAAGGGTTTATGTATTCAAATTAAAAGCACTGAAATGGATCAGTATTTCTTGAGTGTAATTTTAACAAAGCATTGTTGTTGTACCTGTGGAAATATGGATCATACACAATCATCAAAATCATTATGTTATCGCAGCAAAATAAAGGTTTAAAAATGTTCAATACATATTGTAAAATACCGATTATGAGATCAAATTTAAATTTAATGGATTGAAACAAAAACGCAATAGTGAAGATAAATTTAATCTAATTAAGGCACTCGATTGACTTGAATTACATGGATGTGATAATGTATTAATTTTATACCCGGAACTCATTTTATAAATTTATAAGGAGAAAATAAACTCATTGATGGGATTTCTGCCCCCCGGGATCGAATTTATCCAATATTGCGGCGTGCATTGATGTCCTCCAGCTCCACAGCACCCAAAAAGAATAATTTTCAGGTTGCTTTAATAAAAAATTTTAAGTTTTAGCAGAAAACAGTGTAACCGTAGAGTATACACTTTTCCCACATTGGTCACACTGGGCACCGACCGAAATAGACATCACTTTCATTCGACAAAAAATGTACCTGATCTGAGTACTGGGCTAAAATAAGGAATAATTCTATATTTGGCTCAAGCCGAGGAAATACCATCGGTTGCCTATCCAGTATTAATCGGTATGTTTGTTTTCGGATCTGAGTACTCGTCTGCTAAAAGCCAGCTGCTAAATTTTTTGTCGAGCAAAAGACAGGGATGATTTCTTATCGTTTACATACGCACATCGAACAAATTTAGCTGATCTGAGCCTTAACTAAATTTTCCGTCGACCGAATCAGGGGTAAATATTAGGTAGTAGACCCGGTAATAATTTTATTAATTTTTAAGAAGATAATGTCTGTCCCATTGCTAAAATGGGAGAAGGGTATTTTACCGAGTTCGAGTCGTACCAGGATGTTGGATGTTTATACGAAATGCAATCACAAACATAATTATGAACCTCCACAAAACAGGGTGCCCAACAGGGTGCTAACATATAACTTTTTCTGTGCGCTGGGTGTGTCCCCGCCTGCTTATCACACGAATATAAAATCAAGCTTTCCACAGATGCAAGTGCAAATAAAGTCACGCATGTATTCGCCGCACAGCCAGCACCGCCCCCCACTCGAACTAACCACACGCCGACCATGACGTCGGGGTACACCGCACACCGGCAGCCACATGACACAGAGCCAAACAAACAAACTCACGAAAGAACACATTTAAAGTCATAAATTTTTATTTATATGATGATGACTTAAGTTCTACGTGCGTTACCTGTATCACCTTAACCACCCACCCGAAACCAGCCCCACCTGCAGGTCTCTCCTCCACCAGACAGTTACAACTTCCTTTGGCTGGGCTTTAGTTAAGTGCATGATTATGCTTTTAGTGGCATGTTGAGGTTTAGTCAGTCAGTTCGGTATGCTGGCTTTTCACTTCGGCCATCACACATCACATCACCCAGCCCCAATACCAGCGCCCGCCCCTACACTGACAGACCCAGGCCCCGACTCTGATTCGGATTCCAAAACAGAACTTCAAATTCTTTTTGTTGCACTGCGAGAAGCAGGACAGGTGTCGGTCTTCGACTCTGGCATACGTGGGCTAATGGAAAATTCTCTTTGTAAATTCTCTACTCGCTTTACTTCTTTATGGATATGGTTTTTCACTTATTTTTCGGTTCTAATTTTGAAGATCTGGGCTTCTATCTCTATTTCCAAAATGTTGGTGCCCACTCAGCACCCACCACAGGTAAAGGTAACCCCTAAGCCGCCTCTGTGCTTGATTCTGTGCAAAGCTCTTGTTAGTTATTTGATAATCTAGTTCGTTACTGAGTACTGAGTACTGGACAGTGTATTATAAGCTTATTTTCGACTGGGGCTAAGATAGAGTACTGGCATAGAGAAACTATTGGATTGGTTTCTTTTTCAAAGGTTTACATTACGCAAACAAACGAAATATAAAAGATTATAGGCAATATAACTCTCTCTCATATTAAGAAATGGCAAAATCCAATGAAGAGCATAGTTAATGGCTGTTTTAATTAAACACATAACTTAGAGTGAAAGCTTGCTCTGAAATTTATAACTAGCCAATAACAAACGTTTATTGAATTAACGAATTACAATTTTCAGAAAAACATATGCAGAGATTTCTCTTTGATTTCGTATCGTAGTTATGGTACATTTTTATAAATATTTTATTAAATAATAATGAATACAAGGTTTTGCCTGTTACATGCATAAATTCATGAGGAGAATGACACGATTAAAGCTAATTCCTAAGTCGCAAGCCGCATAAAAATCAGTAAAATATAAAAGAGAGAAAAGTTATGGCCAAGAAATATTATTCATATCTATTTTTTTGCGAGCCCGTGGATAGGATCATAAAAAAAGTCTCTACTATATAGAGTACATCTTTTTAGTGCATCCTTTGCGGTGGCTAAGCATCAACCAGAAAGTATGTAATCAACTTTGATGGGCAGAGCATATGTTAAAGGAAAAAAAAACCATGCATACATACATAAATACCAAAAACTACAACTCAATGGGAAAAAGAGACA